AGGTGTTCACACCAGGTGAAATGTTTCTGTTTGTGGCTTCCTGTAGCGCTTGCCCTAGCTTTCAGAATCACCGTAGAAAAATACTTAACATTGAATTAAGGGAAGGCTTTTTTCGATAAGAAATTTTTTACAAAAAGAAAACGTTAATCTCTGCTTTACCTTTCTTTTTTTTTTTCCTCATGAGAGATCCTGGAAGACCCCAGGGGAAACGTGCCACCTTAATCCCTGCGCGGCCAGTGCCAAATACAGGAAATGTTCCCGATAACTCGCAGAACTCCCACCCATTTCTTAACAGTTGCCCATGATGTTTGCTTAACGCCCTTCAGAGCGCAGGATCCTGCTGCTTGTAGAGTTGAGAAGGACTGCTGGTAGACTTTATCTTGGGGATAAGAACGTGCAAAACAGAGGGGTTTGTGGCGGGCCCAAGGCTGCGGGGCAGTCGGTGGCAGTACTGCTGTAGGAATGCAAGGGCTTCCCATCGGTCGGGTCTCTGTCCAGACACAAATTCCACTTTTACCTCTAGCTTTAAAGAGCAAGTGTAGCAGTTTTAGCAAACTCCTCAAATGAATTGGTGCACAGGGCTGTGGGTCTTTCCCGACATCGGCTTTGACAGAACTTGCTATGGAGAGCGCTCCTTGTCAAGATTTCTGTAAAATGCAACACACGTTAGATACAAACAGAAGTGTTATTACTTTACTTTCCCTGTGTCCTTCCTGACGGCATGCCAGTGTTGAGCAGAAACCTTTTGAAATACCATCCAAGATACTATGAAACCTCATCCTGGGCTTTTGCAATACTGTGTTCATTCACCAGTGTTTGACACCCCCCAGCTTTTCCCTTCCAAATGCAACTCTTTCTGCCTCCTATTATGTTTGGGGATTCATGAAGCAGTGTTGCCGCATCCGAGTTGTAGCCTCCGTGGTTCTTTTTTTGTTTTGCCTGTAAGAGTCTTCCATAAAACTCATAAAAAGACCACACGTGCACACAGGAGGCAGAGAAGGGCTGAACAAAGTCTTGCTGCAGACCTGAAGTGCCTGACCCTTCCCATAACCTTTTCTCTCAGTGTAAATCAGAAATCCAGTGTTCAATATGACTGAAATGAGCCCTCTGCTTAATTGCCCTTGTCTCTTGGTTTAGGCTGTTGTCTTGTGTGCTTATCTGGAGATGGGAGGCATTGATCTCAGGGATCAGTCTGTGATTGAGCTGGGAGCTGGAACTGGATTGCTGGGAATAGTGGCCACGTTATTAGGTAAGGGCTTTTTTTTGTTTGTTTAAAGCAATTTACAACTGTAGTAAAACTGGCACTTTTACATCTACATGCCTGGTATAGAAATTAACACCAAAGCTACATATGTGAATTGTGATGTTTCCTGTCTGAGTCATCTTCCTTTCTTGTTAGACTTCAGAGCCTGCTGCGTTATTTATTGTAGCGATGGTGCCACTGCAGTTTACTTTATGGTGGGACCCTGTTAAGGCTGACGCCTGTTACTATGGCACTCAGCTCAGCAGCATTAAGTTCTGCCACTATTCTCCCCCAAGGGAGTGAGCGCCATGCTTGCGGTCTTCCACTGGTTCTTGTATGCAGCACAGATAAATCTACAGACAGAAACCACTCTCTGAGCTTGTGTAAGCCTTGTTATCCTATCTTGCAGACAGGGAAACCAAGGTCTGGAGAAATGAAGTGATGTGCCTGTGATCTGTCTGTGACTGAGGCAGGGACTGGGTACTATGTTAAATTTGTGTTAACTGTCCCAGGTTTATGCAGCACAGATAAATCTACAGACAGAAACCACTCTCTGAGCTTGTGTAAGCCTTGTTATCCTATCTTGCAGACAGGGAAACCAAGGTCTGGAGAAATGAAGTGATGTGCCTGTGATCTGTCTGTGACTGAGGCAGGGACTGGGTACTATGTTAAATTTGTGTTAACTGTCCCAGGTTAACTTTGTAATTCAAAGCTCTAGTGGCTGTGGAAGGTGCCTATTGAAATAATAAAAACAAAGCAGTTTTTGTCAAAATACAATCATGCCATGCAAAATCACACAGGCATAACTTTTGTCTGACCTGTGAAAGAGGCTCTCTAGCTACCTCTCTCCTACTGAACAAATACGGAATTGGAGCAGGTTAATTGTAACAATCCCTGTAACTTATTCTGTCACCTATGGAAAGGCAGAAAGTAACTTCTCTACTTCCATGCACTAAGAAAAAGTTCCAGAAAACACTTTTTGTTCCCTACCCAACTTAATCTTCATGTGGAGTACACTTTATATTCTTAAGTGACTGATGAAGGGTAGGATGTATGTAGATAGTGGGCTTTTTGCTTGTTTTGTTCTTTTGTTTGTTTGTTTTTAATCAGGCAGCTCAGGGGAGTTGTTAATGTTTAACAAGAACTAAGGAGCCTGCTTGACTTAGAGCATTGTATCGCAAATGCTATATTTATGGACATTGACTATATGTCTGAGACATACTCCTGTACCGCTTAGGTGCTCATGTTACCATCACAGACAGGGCGGCAGCACTGGAGTTCCTGGAGTCAAATGTACAGGCTAACTTACCTTCTGAACTACGTCCGAGAGCTGTGGTGAAGGAATTGACTTGGGGAAAAGACCTGGGTAACTTCCCTCCAGGAGCATTTGACTTCATCCTGGGTGCAGACATCGTTTATCTGGAAGAAACTTTTGCAGAACTGCTTCAGACGCTGGAGCACCTGTGCTCAGAGCAAACTGTGATTCTTCTTTCCTGTCGTATCCGCTATGAACGGGATCACAAATTCTTGAAGATGCTGAGAGGCCGTTTCTCTGTATATGAGGTCCACTATGATTCCAGTAAGGATGTTCATATCTACAAAGCACAGAGGGGTAATCGCAAGGATGACTTTTGACTCTATGCTTTGTTAGTAAACCACTGAGGCTGTTCAATCCTCCCCTTGTTTCTACTCAATACACTTGTTCCTAAGCATATAATTGCAGTTGTGTTATTTCACTGGCTTCTTGTTCTGATGGTCTTGTCTGATCACTTGGTCTGATACAGCAAGGATTGTATTTCTGTTCTGTGTATTGAACCTCTGCTTCATTTCTCAGTAGAGTTGTATAGGGTCTTCCACTGACTTTTTATCAAATGTAATTTTTGAAACTGATTTAAGTTGCAGAAATCTCCAGGCATCAAAAACGTCATCAAAAGATCTGTTGTTTAAAATCAAGCCACACAATTTCTGTGGGAAACTTAGAAATAGATTAGAGTGGTTTTTTTTTTCCCCCTTATCACTTCCTTAACTTTAGAAAAGTGGATGAAATATAAGCTAAGACTCCAGCTCTAAATGCTTTGACTCTTCAGGCCTTCTGCATCTTAAAAGTTGTGGTAAAAGAAGCCACTTAAAGGCCAAAAGCAACAAAGGTAGCTGCTATAAAGTCGTATTGCTGTCACTGCTGCATTGAAGAGGCACAGGGAAACAAAGAGCAAGGTCTGTGTAGCGGAGTGAGTTGGGAATCAGTATTGCAGAGTAAGCCAACTTAGAAATCAGTAGTGTTTTTACCTGACTTGCAAGCATGGAGGCTATGCCTGCAGTACCAAAGCAGCCGTGGTTCTTGGGTTGTCCCTGACAAGGTAACTTTCCCTCGCACAGATCAGGGCTCCTTGGAGCAGATACACATGCACATGTGCCAGCAGGGAAAGTGAAACAAGGAGACTCAAACTGTTCTTTAAATATCAAATCTGTCCTTGACTCTCAAAGTACCGCTAAATAACATTCTACTTTCTGCCTTTGTTTGTGGCTCACTCTGTCTCCGAGAGCTGTTATTTAGGAGAGGAGGGTGCTGCTGTAAAGTCTTTGTAGCTGGGGGAGTACTTATTCTTGAATTACTTGGGACCTTGGGGCAGTGTCTAGATTTCGGCATGCTTTCTGTGCACAGTGGTAGTTAGACGCTGTTCTAAGTAACTGATTTCGTACCTTGAGCTTGTAAAAACACCTGTGTGTGTTTATCCCACGAGGTCCTCTGTGAAAAGTGCTGCAGCCTGGAATCCAGCTTGCACCAGCAGCAGACTTCCTTCTCTTTCTAGTGGTGGAAGAATGAAACTGGTGAAAACAATGGCCTAACAGAAGACAGCTACACTTCTAAATGCAGGAATTGCTATAGTACTTTTTTTTTGGTGGATGTGGAACTTTTTTTTTCTTTAAAATTAACTTACAAAGCCCCAGGTCAGGTTCAGGCTTTAAGCGTGTGCATGTCTTTGGCACTGGCAACAGCAAACACCAGCAGCTGCTTGGGGCCATGAACCTTAGGAGCTCTTTATCACTTCTGCTTCCATCAAACTTCCTAACTGGAAAAGATGCAGAGGGTCTGTGGTCCAGAAGTGATGTGCAGACTGTAATCCGGAAATGACACATTTATCATTACAGCTCCCATGAATGAGGCCCGAAGGTCTTGTGCTTCATCCCCGACGTGTCTCGCGTGTCTTCAGCTGAGTTCCTTGCTTGACTCTGGACTCTGCCTGAGAGTTGCTGCTCTAAAACACTTGCGTACAACAGTATCCTCAGAAGCCACATGGTGTCACTAAAACAGTACTTAGCAGCTGGCTGGGAATCTGCAGTCTGAAACTAGAGCTGCAGTCCCTTTGAGGGAAGGAAGACAGCACTTTTAATTAAAAACAGAACACGATATGAGCTTTAATGTACCAGACATGGCTTTTTCTGTCCTATCAACTGGGTGAGCAATGGTTGAATAAAATTACAAGCTCTCCCCACTCTCCCTCTGGCTCTAGTTTTCAGAGCGTAGCTGTAAGTTCTCACCACTCCTCTTCCTTTTCTTCCCCACTGGTGTTTCCTTGTCTCCGAGCTCGTCTGTGGTGACTGTATGTTAGGCCCCCCCCCCCCCAGCTGGAGCTGGCAGAAAGCAGCGTGCTGGTGCTTGGGCTTATGAGTGCATGTGACTTGGTGCATGGGGAAAGCCTGCTACCTGGCTGTGCTTGGCCCTCGCAAGAGGCTGCAGCTTGCAATACTGAGAGCCTTAGCAGCTTGCGTTGTTGCCATAGGAGGAACATGCTTAAAAAGCCCGCTTAAATAGTACAGAATAAAGCCCAGTGTAGTACAGAATGAAGCCTAGTGCAGCAACCTACACACTTTTAAGAAGGGGGCTTTGCTCCAGACCTTGCTTGACGATAGGAAAAGTTTTGCACTTTTAAAACAGATCAGTTTAATTGCATCTCTTTCTAATTGTTTAGCAGCTTTCGGTGTCCGTTTTCCCATTGCTGCTGTTGCAGCCTGTAGCCTTCCTGCGAGAGCAGGCATGTGCTGGAAGAGACCAGGCTTGTCTTCTTTTGCTGTGCTGCTGTTGCACAGCAGCTGTATGCAAACCCAAGGGAGTATGTTTGAAGGCTGAAGCAATGCTACTGCCCATAAGTAAATACTTTTGGAGAAAAGCGTGAGATGACACTGGCAGCTCAGGTGAGTGCCTTGCCCCTGTCCTGCAGAGCTGAGCTCTTGGTGGCCCCTCCCCAGCTCAGCAAGTGGCACCCCCTCAAGGGGACACCTTCTCCTCTGACTGCTACTGGGGTGCGGGTGCTCCTTTAGATTCAGGAGACCAGACCCAGGAATATTGCAGTTAGGCCACCACCACAAGCACATTAGTTCTGGTTGCTTTTTAAGCTACAGTGTTTAGGGGCAGGCACCAATCGTGAAAACATAACTCAGCTGAAACCTACAGCCCATTCCTGCTGGGCAGTGCTAACACTCACCTGCACCAGGCACTGAGCCGTGCCTTCTGTTGTCCCAGGTTGGGCTTCGCAGCTTTTTTGTATTCCCATTGCTTAGCTTCAGGGAGATGTCAGGAGTGAACCACGCCAGACATGCAGGGCAGAAGTAGCAGAGGCATAATTGCCCGGTGAGTGAGCAGAGAGAGAGCAGCCCTCCGTGATGACACCTGCAAACTCTGGTGTCCCGACCAACTGGTCCCAGGTGAGCTTCTGCTCTAGTATGAGATGAGGCATGGTAGTGCTTCAGTGGCTGTTTGGCAATTACACTAATACCCTGCCCAAGCACTTCCTGTCACCCTGTTCATCCCAGCACTAGAGAAGTCAGCGCGATTCTCCTTTGGGTGGTTCCATTGCATTGGTCCTGTTTTGTAGCAGCTGATGTGAACTCATCTGTAGGGAGGATGTGTTTGGGCATGGGTCCCCGAGTAGTGGGGCAATGCGTAAATAGTCTCAAGAAATAAAATACTCACCCTAGGGAGAGGATCCAAGTCACAGGGAAGTGACCAGATAAGACATGAACATGCTGTGAGATTGCAAAACCATCCCTGAAACATGCCATTCTGCAAGGGAACAAACTTTTCTAAGATGTCATTGCAACTAAAGTCACGTTTGATTATTATTAAGACACGGAGTATGAAATTCAGCTCTGTATCTAGTGGACGAAGAGCTTCAAGGTGCAGCAGTGTCAGAAGAATCAGATTTACCAGCTGACCTACTGACTGCACAGGAATCTGTATTACCCGATTCTTTTCAGTGTGACACTCAAGCCAAACTGCATTTTCATCTCATGGACTAACCCTTGTTGGGGATTCTCCCTCATTACTGAGATGCAGATTTTTCTGAGCAAGTACGTGAATGGCATTATGAAAACGCTCAGTTGTGAAAACCACAAAATCTCAGCCATAATGAGCTGACCTTACTGCTTCCCCTTGCTTTCACTGGAGGTGTGTTTACCTCAGCGCTGAATTTGTTCTTCTGGCTTTCATCCCAGTGTTTGGATCCAGCCTTGCAGATTACATAATTGGGCTGCGATCCTTGCAGTGTTTGCTGCCTTCTGTTCTGCTCTGTTATTAACATCAGTAGTACATGGTCTACAGGAATGCTTAAAAGTGGGAAAGACAGCATATTTAAACTGAAAGGGAAAAGTCTTTCGCACATTATATAAACAACAGAACTAACTGCCACCAGAGTGGATACTGGAAAGCAGGTTTAAAAATACCAGAAGTGGAAGAGGAACTTTGTTTTTCAGGACTTGAACCTCTCACTAATCTAATTTATTTTAAATAAGATTAAAAAAGCCTTCCCTTTGGGGAAAATATCTCATGAATACTTACAGCAGGCCACAGATCATGAGAGGACACCATAGTCTGCTTACGCCTTTTCCCATACTCCTATCTAGCTACCATTTGCCACTAAACTAGTGTAAATGGAACATCCTGCCCAAAAAAGAGACTTTGTAGAGTTTTTTAAAGCACGTTTATGTGACTGCACATAAATGTTTGTGTAAAAAGGGAGTTATGACAGTTTATACCACAAAGGTTACAGTAAGAAAAAGCACTTCTTTATGACAATAATTCACAAATTCACAAGAATCACTTTAATATACAAAGCAATTACTACCATTCTGAAACACAAAGCAGCTAATATGTACACAGTGTTAATAAAATGCATTATAACCCAGTACAATTTTTTTTTAAAACACAGATAAAGCACAAAAAATTAAGTAAAAAAAACCCCAACACAACAGGGATGTTTCTAGATTTTTGGGGAAATGTAAATAAGAATTTATTTTCCCCCAGTAATGGATTTTCATTTAGCCTTTTAACTTCCACAAGTATGTGGGAGTCGAGCTCAAATACCCTGTTCTGTGCTGACATGGTTTGGGTAAAGAATCAGAAATGCAGATGAGGTGAACTTACTCTTTCCAGCTTACATTACAAAGGGAGAATAATAACCCTCGCTCTGGAAGCTTCCCTGAAAAACGTTGTTCCAAAACAATTTCAAATTATAAATCCAGAGTAGAAACAACTCATTTTTGAAGTGAACAACCAATCTGTGGACAAGTCTGTGGAGGGGTTGGCTGCCAACTAGCACCTCTTCTTGCCCTGTTCCCCATCCCATCCCTAGAAGTCCATATAAGCAGCACAGTTTCAAATCTCATACAAACTCCAAGTTCTAGAACTTTTAAAAATTAATGTTTTAATATAAATAAATGTCATTACACACACAAAAAATGGAGTGGCACCTGGATAAAACACAACTTGTGGAGAGCATCCGGACATCCTTAGTTCTTAAGAGTGGCCATTTCCAGATACTTAATTGGCCTAAGGCCTTCCTTCCCCGTGCTCTCACTCAGCTATCCCCTAATTTAGAGAAATACATAGCTGAGGCTGAGACCAAGTGAACCGACTGCTCCCAAGTCATGAGTACAGTAAGCGTATGAAGTGAGCCAACCGTGGATGATTACAGCCTGTCCCTGGCCCTTTCCCTGCCAGCACACAGCTCCTGAGGACAGCCGACATCTCCTGCCTCTCGCTGGTGAAAGCGAGACCTGAACTCACCAGTTATACAGCAAGTCACAAACTGCACTTGCAGTACCAGAACGCAGACAGGTCACTGTCTTCAATTTGTGCTATGCAAACTAGCCCAAGCAAGTCTCTTTGTGGGCCAGAGCTTAAATACATTTAAAAAACACATTCTGAGGCAAAACACTTTTGAAATGCAAACCCTCTTTTACCAACTGTATCTGGTCCCTTTTCCCCAAAGATGTACAGATTTAAGCCATATCCATCCACAGACCTGAACCTGTCACAAGCACACGGTAGATAGGATTTCAGCACCCTGTTTCTTTCTATCAGTCTGGCTCCTCCCAGACCAACTGAGCTTCATGATACATTCAGGTTTCTGCAAAATCGGTGTCTTTTACAGCTAGCAAATTCAAAAGCTCAGGGAAATGAGTTCCCAGTCACAGTACAGAGAACCATCAATGTACTGTATGCTTTTAAAACCTGCTCACAGTGACAGATTTCAGGGCTATAGCTAAATTATCATTGCTCCTGCAAAAGAAAGGTGGTTGTGCTTTTTTTTAGCTTTTAAAGCAGGGTGACGCATTGTCAATGTACCTTTACTTCCTGGTGTCAAAGAACTGGAAAGCCTTTTGATTTATTTTCTTGGAATGCAGCTTGTAAAATTTGCAGCCAAATCTCAAATTAAGAAAAGGGGAATAAAGCGACTGAAAAATAGTTTAGCTTTCCTTCCAAATTATTCTCCCTTTCCCACTTGGGATCACTGAACTAGTTCTATTCTAAAAATAATTTCACATCCATCCTGTACATACTGCTCTGAGGCACCACACACTTAATTCTTTCCAGGGCTCAGTACTGCCAGTTCAGATCTCCTGCCATTTTGAAGTAATGCCTGCTGGATCAGCCAGGTGCTGATCAGCAAGTTAAATTTGCAGGGGAGTCAACTGCTGTGGGGAGAGGAGTGAATTGTGTGCAGGCAGCAGGATTACAACAATTGTGCCAGGGAGCTTCTCAAGCAAACCCTCTTTTTTTTTTCGTTCCGTTTTTTTTTTTTTTTAAAAGTGCACATTTTAATTAAACATTTACAAAGAATATAGTGTAACAAAAATAAATACATGACCTTTTGGTTAGATCATTGGCAAATGTTACATCACTAACCAGCTTCAGGGTGAAAAAACAACAATAAAACCAGGGTCTTAGAAAACCAATGAAATCGTCTATGAATTGTCATGATTTGCAACCACTGATAATGAACTTGCTTAGATGGGGAGACTTGTCTTTACTTTAACCCACAAAAAGTACTCTCTGGCTGCCATAAATTAGAAAAATAGAAAATAAAAAAGCAGAGGCCAGTTTTCGCTAACAGATGACTACTTGCAGCTGCAGTCTACTGGAAGCCCAGATTTAAAAAAACCTGTAGTACAAATTTAGATCAGAAATTATGAGGGCTCTTTTTCCTTATTAAATCTAACTTTTTTTCTCCTGAGCCTCTTAATGATTCCAAACACCCCACCAATTTTCTGATCAACCTACAAGTACCAGAGAAGACAGTGGTCTGCAACGCAAACGCCAACTACAGAAGAGCCAGAACCTGCAGGTGTCTGTACAGTCCTGACGAGCATGACAGGCGGGCTGCCATAAATCAGAAAAATAGAAAATAAAAAAGCAGAGGCCAGTTTTCGCTAACAGATGACTACTTGCAGCTGCAGTCTACTGGAAGCCCAGATTTAAAAAAACCTGTAGTACAAATTTAGATCAGAAATTATGAGGGCTCTTTTTCCTTATTAAATCTAACTTTTTTTCTCCTGAGCCTCTTAATGATTCCAAACACCCCACCAATTTTCTGATCAACCTACAAGTACCAGAGAAGACAGTGGTCTGCAACGCAAACGCCAACTACAGAAGAGCCAGAACCTGCAGGTGTCTGTACAGTCCTGACGAGCATGACAGGCTAAAATTGTGCTTTCAGATACAAGCAATAGTGCTGGCAACTACCTGACTCTGGTGAAATTGCTGCTTAAATAAAAATGCAGGAGGAAAATAGAAGTCTTACCAGTGGTTCCTTTAGAAAATAACACCTTAACAACCTTTCCAATTGTTTTGCCTTTGATATATAGCTGCCAAAGAGAAAAAGCACAAAAGTGAATTATTCTGGGTGGTGGTGGTTGTTGTAAAACAACTGTTTACATAATTTCAAAAATCTCCATCAATAAAAAACAAAAACAAACCTCACAAAAGCCATGAAAGATGAAATAAAATTCTTGAAAATGGATAACTGAGAAACGGCACAAAACAAATCAGTAATAAGCGCTAGAATAATGCAGCCCAGAACTACTGGGGCGGGGGAAGCTTTCACACACGCGCACACATCCACACACACCCAGACACACACAGAAAAGTAAAAATTTTTTCTGACCTCCATATACTATAATACTCAGCATTCCTGACTTAAAAGCTCTCAGAGCTGTAGATTATATACTGTGTGTATATATATATATGTACATATATTATACATATGTATTTTCCAAGAATATCTAAATTAAAAGAGCACCTCTGACAATATCTTAACTGCCTGATCGGTGCTGTTGTTTTGCAAAATAATGACATTACAAAAATTATATTTCAAATCAATTCTTGTTTATTATGAACATAATGAATCTAGCCCTTTCTAACCCTCTCTTCAGGTAAAACAGGCTATCAGTTCTTGAAAACTCACAACCGTGAGATATAAAACTAATCCTCCCTCCCCCCGCCAGCATAATTTCCGTCCTACTTCCAAATGGCCTTAGTTTATAGAAGCTGATTACCCCAACCTCACTACTTGGTAAATAACATACGAATGGATTCCTGTGTCATATTCTTTCCCTTTCTGAGTCAGTATGAGTAGTAAAGCATGTATGAGTATCCCTAGCCAGCCCTGTACTTGGTCTAATATTTCCATTAAAATTTCCATTAAAGAAATTCAAGTCCCTAAATCCTCAGTGCAGCATAAATAAAAATAAAGATTCTTGCACATCCCTACGTGCTTTAAAATAACGTTCTTTTTCTTAGCGAAACGTTAGTTGCTAATGAGGTCTAGACTAATAACACTACAGACTACTCGCAGACCACGCACAGACAAACCGGTAACACAGTTCTCCTCTCATTGCCGCACAAATTTGCACCCCCTGTATTACATTAAAGAAATTCAAGTCCCTAAATCCTCAGTGCAGCATAAATAAAAATAAAGATTCTTGCACATCCCTACGTGCTTTAAAATAACGTTCTTTTTCTTAGCGAAACGTTAGTTGCTAATGAGGTCTAGACTAATAACACTACAGACTACTCGCAGACCACGCACAGACAAACCGGTAACACAGTTCTCCTCTCATTGCCGCACAAATTTGCACCAACCCTGTATTAGAAGAACCCTGCCCGGGTACCGGTTTAGGCTCCCTGGTCCATTCAGCTCCCAGGCTTTGTGCCCAGTGACCATCGACAAGTGCTCATTACCCACTAGGAACAGCTCTCAGATCATGGCTAGCCTCATTCAGGTTCACTGCAAAAACTCAAGTTTTTGCAAACAGATGGTTCTACAAAAGAAACAGCCTTAATGTAGGCACGTACAGCCTTTTCCATATTTCTCAAAGTTGGAGGAACCATTCCATATAACTGTGTAAATTAGGCCATCATGAGCTTCATGTTCTACAAGAATGACTCCTGCATTATCAACATTTCTACTTCAGCACTAGTTCTGAAAAACTGGTAACCGTTGTATGTATTTGTATTCTCTGACTTTAAGAATCAGACAATTTTTATAAAAGCATTGCTGAGAATTTAGGGTCTTCTTTAAATTTGCATTGCTAAACTAATAAATTCATCTTCCATTAAATAAAAACATGAAAATCAATTCTCTATGGCAGATAAAAATAGACCATTTATAAACCTCCTCAACACTTGTGAAAATGAATTCTTTCATAATTTTGATACTTATGTTCTCTTCTTGAAATACAAACATAATTTGAAGTTATTGGTAACTCTAAATTTAACAATAAAGCTACAAGTTTAACCCTGCTCCTTTTAAACATTAAATAAAAACATGAAAATCAATTCTCTATGGCAGATAAAAATAGACCATTTATAAACCTCCTCAACACTTGTGAAAATGAATTCTTTCATAATTTTGATACTTATGTTCTCTTCTTGAAATACAAACATAATTTGAAGTTATTGGTAACTCTAAATTTAACAATAATGCTACAAGTTTAACCCTGCTGCTTTTAAAGTCTCTTGGAAACTGAATGCCCTCTCAAATGAGAAAACTAGAACTTTTAATACTGCTTAGCTGTTTGAGACTCAACTGCCCAGAGTCTTCCAAATGTTCTTCGTATAACATCACATTGATTGTATAACCTTTTAGAAGCTCATGTTTGCAATTTATCTTAAAAACAGATAGAGCGAATGGGAAAACAGTATTAGCTAATACTTCGCTAGGCAAGGCATTAGTACAGATCAGTCTTATTCATATGTCTCTATACATAAAAGTTTGACCATAAGCCCAAAGTAAACTTACTTCATCAAATGATCCAAGTTAATGTATCAAGAGACTGGCTTCAGAGGGCCAGTAAACAAACTGCACATGATTCTTTTTGACACATTTTTTTTGACAACTTCTTGACATTCTTTTTTGGTTCTTTTTGAGCATGATTCTTCTGAAGTCCTAACACTTAGTACAAAGTTGTTTTTAACAATGTAAATCTGGGAAAGATCACATTTCCTCAGTGCACACAAAAACACTGATCTTGCAAATGTCTGAGGCACAGGAGTAATTTTACTTACAGGAATAAACTACTCGGTAAATCCGACCCTTTACATGAAAAAATCCTCCGAATAAATTGAGAATTTAGCTACCCTGCCCAGGTTCAAAGAATTAATGTTGTCCCTCGCGAAGCAGAAGTTGGAATATTTGTGTTTGAAGTCCTCTTCAATATTTGAGGTTGTCCTGGTAGTTGTCATACTGCAATTTAATTTATGCATGGAAGGCAGCCTCAAAGTTTGAAAAAGAATCTAGCAAACCAAGCTGATGTCTCCATTGAGTACAATAATTTCCATTACATAAGATAGTGGTAGGGAAATAGAAATAATCTCATTGCTTGAGAGGACTTGGGACACAGACTATACTGTCGTCAGGGAGTATAACGTGGAGTTGGCCATGCTTCAACTGCTTAGTTTTTCTGCACACAAATAGGTAGTGCTTTCATGTGTTACCCTCGCTTACTACGTGACTGTTTTCTAAATGTCACTATTGTACTTTTTTTATTCCTTTCCCATCCAAATATCATTTCCCAACCAATATCCTATGAAGTTGATGTTTGCTTTTTGTGCATTCAGAATGCTGAACACACTTGCATAAATAAGCTTCGAGAAGCAACAACTGACCAGTGAAGCTCATTTCAATGCATTTGTTTCTGAGGTATGGAGAAGTTTTTACTAGTCCAGGAGGGCTTAATACACATTACAAATCAAAACCGCTCCTGGGCTAGTTTGAAAAAGGTATGTTATCTCCACACCAAGAACATGACTGTGAAGCGCCTTTCATTTGGCATGCCACTTAACCGTGTATTTTTATAGTTCATAATGAATATGTAAAACCAATTTGGCAACCATTGCTTCCTCATTGCACCATGCATGCTCCATGTATGTGGCCCACAGTTCTCTGGACCAAGAGGCTGGGGTGATTCTGTCTCTAAGGCAATGGAAAGAGCTCAGCACAAATTCTTGAAATCATTACAAAAGGACCCTCCCCACAGTAACTTCTCAAGTGACCACTGTTACTCCTTGAAGAGGATGGCGAGACGAGAAAGAAGCCTGTTCTTCTTCTTCACGCTGAGATTGATGATGAAAATAATCTTGTAGGGGGAGAAGAGGAGGCAAGTACTTGAACATTCACAGTTTGATGCAAAGCACAGATGAAGTATATTCTGTAGTTGCTTCAGGCAGTTTTGCGCATAGAAAAAAAGAAATGTTTAGAAAATAAAAAGTTTACTTTGTCTTTCTGGGTATAGCCAGAACCAGTCTCTATCCCACCTGGACAAGTGAAAACGGGAATCCAAAATTAATCTGATTTGTGGCAGTAAAGCTCCTTAAGTGCTTTCAACTCCTCAATCAGTGTCTTGTTTTGGTTTTCAAGCACAGCCACTCGATTTTCTAGACATTTCACATACTCCTTTTTCTTCCTGCGACATTCACGTGCTGCCTCTCTGCAAAGCAAAAAAGGCCATTCAAATCCAGAACAGTTACTTGCAGACATGGGCTACTTAACTGTTCAGGTCAAACCTTTACCTAGTACTGCCATTTGTAGAATATGGAGGTATTGTTAATAAATGCAAGTTAGGAAAAAAGGCTGAGTTCATAACAATTGCTTCTCACAAATCACACACACTCAAGATCCACAGGTCATTTCGACACGCAGATCCCAGTAAGTCAGCACCAATAAAATTCTGCTTATGTGAGAAAAGGATCCTAACTCAATGACAAAATTCTGCCTGCAGGATTTACATTAGAGCCTTTAGGCCGAGTCAAATGCTGCTGCAATAATTTCCTTGATTTTATTATAATAAATAGATTAATAATAAAAACATGGATAAGACCAATGTTCATCTATTCGTCTCTTTATAAACTCTTCCCTTCGCTGCAGTCCAACCAAATACTAATGGTCAGGATGTTCAACCGGTGCAAAAAAAGCTATATTTAGAGCATTCACAAATTTGCTCTTGAGCAATACTTTCATTTTATTAATAATGTCTGCATCACTGCAAAGATAATATAAATGACTCAAATAAAAAACCCACAATATAAACAGTTACTAGCAACCATATCATTCTTTAGTCATTGTCTGCTGTGCCAAGAACATGGCAGTGTTAATGTGCTGAGGCAGATCTCAAGACAGTCAAACTTTTAAGGCTTGCCTGTAAAGACTGAGTTGCCTGTAGATAACCTGGTAACATACTAAGAACACCAATGAAAAATACCTGAAAGGTGTTAATCTGCTGCTGAGCATCCTGAAGGCAGTAACACCAAGACAGAAGCTATCCTGCACAGCAACAGTAATGGTACCAATGTGCAAAGTAAGCAGAAGGCTAAATGCCGCAGGTGGATGGGAGTCCAGGCAGAGGGTTCTCCTCCTGCAATGCAGCTTGTCAAAGCAGCACACTGCAGATTTATGTAAATGTACATGCTTGTTTGCCCTGAACCTTTAGGTGCAAAGCAGAGCAGCTTCAAAAGGAGAGTCTGAGTGTCCCTTCATTGCAAATGCTGCATAGATTGGTGATACAGTCAGTGTTCTGGGAAATGAGAGGACAAAATTGAACCCAGTTCTTCTGCTTATTAGATAAATAGTAGTTGTAGTACTAGGTAAAAAAGAATGTCTGTTCCAGGACCTACCTGGTAAGAAAACTCTAAAAGTAACTTTTGAAATTCAGCTCCACAAGTGAGACAGGATGAAGAAAACCTAGTTTGTAAGCCCTGAAAGGACTCAGGTATCCATTTGTTACACAATTTCACATGCTTGCAGCACTTCAGTGGGCCATGTGCAACATTTAGAATTTAAGTCATTTTGGGCTGTTACTTGTGTCACCAAAAGATTGTGTCACTGGATCAGGAAGTGCCTCCCAGTGCAAACTGTCTTCTTGGGTGACAAGTTTTTCTTTCTTTTTGTGATTTTTGTGCCAGCTTGGGCTGTATATTAAGCCACCTCAAGTCTGTGTGCATTAGTTATTCATTATGAACAGCTAGAGTTATTCTGAATTACAAGAGAGCTTTTAAAATTTATAATTTACACAGAAAATTTGCACAATAATATCTATGAATATTTATGATATAATCCTCCAATAAATACCACCTCACCATCTGCCTCTCTATATCCCTTTCCCCTGCTTTGCTAGGGAGCCTAGATTTGCAAATACCTATTAAGAATGCAGGCTAAAAGCACCGCATGCAACATGATACTGTTGCAAAAGCTGTCAATTGAACTCAAGTGGGGGTAATTCCCGATTGTTTTTCTTGGCTTTCCCAAACACAAAAGCTTTCTTTTACTGGAATAAGACTGCTGACTAAATGAGGGGATTCAGAATGCTAATTAAATTTTTCTCAAATGCAGAGCCTTGAAAGGGGGACATCTACTATTCACTGATACCAGAAAAATATATAAAAAGGGGAGATGGGTGACATTCTGTACAAAAACCTTTTAAAAAAGTGAGCTCTGCTGTTCAGAATTATTTACTTCATTAAAGCCCCTCAGACAAGCACTGGGTCTGCTCATGTGACTTTCTATTGTTCACAGCTTAGCAATCTATGGAAGATAAATGCACCTGTACAACATAACAGTTTTTTCAGGCTGACAGATGAAGTAAACAGTGCTTTCATGGGGCTCCCCCTCCTCAGAGGGGAGGGAAGCACTGCTGTTTTCCTAGTGTCACAATGTAACACACAGGCTCAAATCTGTGGATGGAGTTCAAGCTTGGTGTGATGGGTCAGCTCAGGCCCAAACCTTCCCTCTCCCACAGCAGCAGGCTTAAGGAGCAACATGCCCAACTCCTCTCTGCTGCTCCCTTCCTTCGCTGCCTCCACCAAGCCCCGCCTCAGTAGGCTTGGCTGTTCCTCCTCACACACTAAATCCTACAGGGTCAAGTCTCCTCCCTCTCTCTTTCAGCCCCTCTGCTGCAACTACTGGCTCCACCAAGAGTAGCTGCTCATTTAGCCTTTCCTTGAGTCTTTCTGCCTTCGGAGGATAAAACCCAAAAGGCAAGCAGCTAAAGAGGACAAGTGAGACAACCAAGAAAGCACTTGTGAAGAGTGTGGGTGGGCCAGCAGCAAGGAGAATGCATGCAGAAGGCTAAGGTAAAGAATCCAGGAAAGGAAACTACATGAATGTATTAACTCAAAAAAATCAACTCACCTTGGTGTTTGTAAGAACGTATTTGCAGCCATACAAGTCTCTCACCAATTACTTTTCTCCTTATGGCAACAAACAAATTCACACACCTCACAGAATGAGTCTGACACCTTTACTTAAGGTTTCATAGTCACAATACATGGCATTAGCAGATGTGCTTCTTTGCTTTGCATCTTTAAATAAAGGCAAATTCTTCAGAAAGCATTTCATAAAATGACTAAGAAAGATCAGGATTCCTAGTGCTTAACACTCTAGGTCTATGCAGAGCTGACCAGAAAAAAAGTGATCTAAATGTACGTGCCTGTTCTTCATTAGACGCACTTCTCTCTTCCGTGCGGCCTCTTCTGCTGGCTGAGTTGGAAGTGCTGGAGAGGATGCCATGACTACGCCTGGTGCAATGGTGCTGGTAGGGGCGGTGCGAATCTGGTAGGTCTGCACATCTCCTGAGGCAGCTGAAAGACACAAGGGAACATCATGTCAGATTGGTGACACTGCTGTTAAACGTGGTGTGAAGAGCACCTAGTCATCTATCTAACCATGCTCTCTGGGCTACAGTACAGGAGGGATGACCATCATCTGGGTCATCACTGCTATTTCAGTCTTAGTTTATTAACATATGCAAGGTTTTGGGCATTCCTGCTGAAGAAGTCTCCACTTGTGCTTGATAACTTGATTTGTCTTGCTGTATTGCTGTGCTTCTTTCTCCCTTAATACATTTCGTTTTACTTCTCTGGTTTTTGGGCAGTTTTAGCATTTTTAAGATGAAGGATGGCAAACAGTATTTCTAGCTATGCTCCAAATGTCTATCTGCAAAAGGAGAAACTGCATGTGTAAGTATTTGGCACAGAAAAAAGGGTGTAGAAAGATAGCATTTACTCCCAACAAGAGAGATACAGTGCAAGCTAGGCACTCAGTTTCACTACTCTAGAATGAACAAGGTCTTGGGTTTCTTTTGTTTGCTTATTGTAATTTAGGAGTGTGTTATATTTGCTTGAGCTCATAAAAAAATATACCACCTAAAGAAATCACATGTCCTTAAGAACACAAAAACCAGAAGATCAATGCAAGAATAGTATTTTTCTCAGCTATATATTTTCACTGATGCGTGGAGACCTCTTCACCAGGTAACTTTCAAATCACCTGCTTTACAATCATAAAAGCAGGGGTACATTTTTCTGTTATTTTTAATAAACAGATTTTTAATAGCTCCCCCAATTTTTAATAAACCAAAACATATATTTTAATACAATAAAAAACCCCAACTTATTCTAAGTTGAAGTAGCCCTGCTTGCTGTAAGTGGAGGACTAGACCAAATGCCCTCTTAAGGCACTTTCCTAAATTATTCTATGATTCTAAGACTCAATGATTAAGTACTTGATGACTAGTTACAAAAGCCACAATAGGAAGAAATTATGACTTGCAATTGAAAAGGGGAAAAAATTACTAATAAATTAAAGTGTCTTTACAGAAACAAAGTATCAAACAACCTTCTTTCCTAACTTTAATGCTTCCCCTTAAATTTACTATTGTTGCAGATGACTATCTGGGAGAACTCAGCACTCTAAAGTGGTATGAGTTTTTGCAGAACGTATTAAAAAAAATCATATGGACAAAATAAAGGAAATACAGCATGGAAAACCAAAAATAAATATATTGTTTTAAGAAGTAAACCCAAAATATCCACAATTTTATCAATCTGAAAGGAAAGGCTCCAAGAAAATGTGACAAATAGTTTTGTCCAGAATTTCCTTTAATCATTCTGGAGACTTACCTCTGCCAAAGCTGTTAGTTCTGTTTCCTGACACATTTGAAGGAGTTAGGTTGGCAACTTATATCTGCATGGAGATATAATACATATATATATACTGAATGACTGGCTGTGAAGTTTCTCACCTTGTACGACAACTTGGTTGCTGGGTACAAGTATCTGTTGTCCATCTGTGGTCTGTGCATATTGTAAAATGGTGGTGCCAGGTTGGGTTGCAGCTGCATTGGTCATAGTCAACGTCTGGAGACCTTGTACTCCATCTGTGCCATTGTTAGACAACTGTATTGCTCCTCCTTGGGTAATAGCAACTGAAGATAAAAAAAATCGACACAGCATTTAAGACACTAATTTACTCATTAACTTAGAGTATTAAACCTAGATATGGAAGAATACTGGTCTGAGTTAAATCCCTTGAATCCTTATACACCCTCGAATCAGACACATGGCTCTAATGTACATTAAAGAAATAATGCTTTGAAAGTAAGTTTTCAATTTTTCATGAGACCCATTGTGCTGGTTTTGGCTGGGGTAGAGTTAATTTTCTTCATAGTAGCTGGTATGGGGCTATGTTTTGGATTTGTGCTGGAAACAGTGTTGATAACACAGGGGTGTTTTCGTTACTGCTGAGCAGTGCTTACACAGAGTCAAGGCCTTTTCTGCTTCTCACCCCACCCCAACAGCGAGTAGGCTGGGGGTGCACAGGAAGCTGGGAGGGGACACAGCCGGGACAGCTGACCCCAGCTGACCAAAGGGATATTCCATACCATATGACGTCATGCTCAGCATATAAAGCTGGGGGAAGAAGAAAGAAGGGGGGGATGTTCGGAGTGATGGTGTTTGTCTTCCCAAGTAACTGTTACGCGTGATGGAGCCCTGCTTTCCTGGAGATGGCTGAACACCTGCCTGCCGAGGGGAAGGAGTGAATGAATTCCTTGTTTTGCTTTGCTTGTGTGCGTGGCTTTTGCTTTACTTACTAAACTGTCTTTATCTCAACCCACGGGTTTTCTCGCTTTTACTCTTCTACTTCTCTCCCCCATCCCACCAGGGGGGAGTGAGTGAGTGGCTGTGTGGTGCTCAGTTGCCGGCTGGG